GCCACAACCTGAGCTCTTAAATCTGCTGTAAATGTGGCTATGTTTTTCAAAAAGATAGATATGTTTATATAGACAGTTTTGATACAAGTCTATGAAATGCATCCAAATATTATGGGATTATTGATTTCATACCTTGGATCTTTGTCATAATATTGTTATTGGAGTATACAACTCAAACCAGATTCTGTACAAAAAATGTATGGCAAAGCACAGGTTTAAATCTTGGTTCATTATCTTGGAATGTTCTCTATTTGGATTATGTTTGGGTGGAATTGCCCAATTATAGGACCATGGCACAGATTCTAAGAATACGATTTGCAGACATTAACCTGTTTCCTTGGGTAGATGAAACAAGAGCAGCCGGCAGCAGATGTTTTATATCGATGTAAATGAATTTGACGTCTGTTTGTGCCAATATGAAAACTGTGCCAGGGCTCTTCCTCACAATGTTGATACATTCACCTGTGATGCAAAGTAGGTATTTGTTTTCTGCAAGTCTATTTTGTACCTGCCAACCTCATCCCTCTAACAATGAGATAACACTGTCTTTCTATTACTCTTCAAACAGACTTTCCAATTACAATCAGCCAGACAGCAATTAGTAGTAATTAGAAAAGTATAGTATACTCTCCTGCTCTCCTGTAATGAAAACCAGCATGAAAATGAGGAGCTCTCTCTTTCATCACATACCTTAAAATCGACCAATTTTCAAAAACATTGCATGTAATGTTCTTTTTAAAGTACTATATATCTAAAGCCAAAACTTTTTTTCTTGGATTGAGCAGGGGCGGACTGACAACTCATGGGGCCCCCGGGCAACAGGGGATCATGGGGCCCCTGTGTCCTTGCCCAAACTAAAAAAAGCCTATGAAAAAAAAGTACCAGGGGCCCCCTACTGACCCCGGGCCCTCGGGCACTGCCCGAGTTTCCAAACGGTCAGTCCGCCCCTGGGATTGAGTGAGGATGGGTTGGAACCTATCTGTCAGATTTGTATTGCTGTCTGTCTCCAGATTAAGGAGATGTACTCTATCATTTGTTCTGGTGATCTCTGTTACTGGGACTGCAAGTGATGGGAAATCCTAAATCCAAGTCGTCACCAGAACAAAAATTGAAGCTATTTCCTGTGTACAGGACAGGAAAAGAAGAAACATTTCCCCAGTGGGACACAATGGTAAAAATAAATAAATAAAAACTGTCAGGGGTTTTAATCACTTCCTACGCTATCCAAGATTGACAAAAGAGAACAGCTATCTAGCAAGTCCCCACCCCTATCCTCAAGAAAATATACTGAGCTATTGCTACATTGGTATATCTACCCACAGCAGCCAATGAGATCTAAGCTTGTTGTTATGAGTAATGTTCCCATTTTCCTTTGCTGTAAAATAGTTTATACTTTTTGTTCACAATACCCGATTATCTGTTAAAGTGGAACTTTAGTCAGAAAATTAAGTCCTGCTAGATCACTTCAGGTTGGTCCCTTTTGCGGGTATAGCTATGTAAAACATTAAACAAATAAGTGCCTATACTGTTTATTGCAATATGCAATATGATGTCTCACCCTGCTCTGCACATCCTCAGTTGCTCCCTATTTTTTGGCGTTGTGCCTAAAATGTAGAGGCCGATCTTCTGACAGCCTAAAGATTTGCTACTGTTCAGGGCCTCTGGGCTTCAGCAAAATGGCCGCCTCCAGCAAGAAGAAACAGGAGCAATGCTGGAGGCAATTCACAGCACACACTAATTTTGGTAGCATAATTATTAATATAGAATGTATGTTTCTTGCTAAAGAACATTACTTTTTTATCAGCTTGTTATAGTTGGTAAAGTTCCACTTAAGCTCAAACACGTTACAATCTAATTGTAAAATATCCTTTACATCTACCAACAACTATGTAGTGCATGGGCCTGCCTGATTGGAAAAATATTAATTGGCATTTATTAGGAAGGTCCTCATATTACATATCATTGCTAAAAGCAAAGATTAAATGGTCAGATTACAACATGTTTTATGATCCTTAATTTTCATCCTTAATTAGCTAAAATCTGGTCAGCAATACAGGATTTGACTACTCCTACCTTAAATGTACATTACAGCAACCTTTCATATTCCTGATGTGCCTGTTGTACCATGTACTGGTGTTAAAAAGTATCCTGTTCTCTTTGTATTTCTTCCTTTGTGCTGAAATGCCTGGTGATCCTGCCAGTTACCCGATTCCTATTTCAAACTGACCATGCTAGGCATAAAAACACATCCTTCCCATCAGTTTTCTGTCTGTGCTGGAAGCCCTACCTTCCTGTCCCCCAATGGCTAAACACTTGTGCTGACATGCCGTCCTGCGCAGCCATTCACTGGGAAGATCAGTGTATTGTTCTTTCTCTGTCTCCTGCCAACACACAACCCCCCTCTTCCATGTAGTCTCTACCCCACGTCCCTGAGATCCTTATGCAGCTGAGAACAGAAGCTATGTGATCACTTATATAGAAAGAAAAAAAAAAGGGTGTTTATAATTATTTTTTTTTTAATTCATACATATACTCTAATCAAGCAGCTGTATTTTCTTCAGGAGTTGTTTGTTCCTCCCCTGAGAGGTTTTCTTAGTCACTTCTAATAAAAGTATCTGCAAACATAGCCAATTAAATATACACCTCATTGTCAAACTGCTGAAATCAGACGTATCATTGTGTAACGTAAGAAAGAATTCTGACCTTTGTTCCAGGAAGCAGCCTCATACATTCTCTGTGGCATACTCTAGAACTTTCTCTTTTCTATGGGTGTGTATGGAATGTATGATCGTGAAACCATTTTATGTTATATTTCGATGCAGGAAAGAAATGTCAACTGCTTGTTAATTTACAGGATCAAAATCAAGATGCAGTAGTTATAATGGTACCATAGACTTAGGAGGGCAATCAATGATAAGGGGGTTTAAAAGCTATTAAGGCAGGCTGAAAAACATCTAAATCAGAGGGTTGTCATCCCTATGGTTACACATTGGAAGGGTATTCTTGTAAGTCGCTATAGTGGGTAAGCACTCTGAAGACATCCCTAGACCTGGGCTGTCTTAGGGGAAAGCCAATCTGTCTGATATACTCTTCCATCGTCATAGGTCAGCCACAAGATATAGATTTATGAAAATAAGATTGTTTGATCTGACCAAACAAACATTCTCTTCTACTGTAGATCTCGTCTCAGAAAATGGCTTTTTATTATGTCAGCAATCAGATCCAATTCCAACCTTTGAAATACAGAATTTGAAAAATAATTGCTTATGTAAATTGTATGTACGTTTGGTTAGTTTGCAGTCGAAAATTAATATATTCATCTATTTACAATGCTTTCACACCCTACTCCCAACACCCACTGTGTATTTAATTGATGTAAATATGCAATTATTTCAATAAAGCTGGATTCTTATTTAGTAAGTTGGATGAATGACTTTTGCTTCATGTGTTGTGTGGTTTCCTTCTGCATCATTGATGGATACTTTGGAATGTTCTAGGAAGCAAATCCATAATTCAGCCTTTTTACCTCAGAGGAACCCCTGAAATAATTTTCATGTCTTTGGGAACCCTAGTTAAAACCAATTCATTGTGGGTCAGTGGGATGAATGCCCCTTTTCAGTGGTGCTCAGAATGTCACCCTTACAGACAGCAAATAGATTAATGGTGGAATGATGCTGACTCTGCCAAGAGGCATTGGACCCAGAATTATGCAGGTACCATCAAGTAGAAGGTCAATTCACCACAGCTCAAGGAACCCCCTAGAAACCTCTGGAGACCTAGTATAATTTATGCATTATGAGGGGTTGTTCATTTTCACTAGAAAGCAGGCGATCCCTCAACTGGTTCCTTTATGATAAATACCAGAGTGTACACTATTGGTATCCTCACTACATAGCTGCTGCAAGTCTCAGTGTGGTTTTTTTTTTCAGATGCACCAGACTGGAAACGTTTTCAGCTTTAAGTGACCTTTATAGCCAGAATCTGTCTGAAAATAAATGAAATGCATGATTGGTTGCCAAGTGCACACCATCTTATCTTTCCAACACAATGAGCATGAGTTAAACTGCTGAACTAGATGCAGGTGTCACTGGACCCGTTGATGCTTGTGGTTGTCCATATGGCAGTGAGCACATGACAGCAATATGATAAGATGGTGTGCCCTTGGCAACCAATCAGGTATTTCATTTACTCTTTATGGATGTTTAACAATGTGGCCATATCAGGATAACACACCTTCAATGTCACTGTAGTTTGATGTAATAGAGAATCTAGTATTTCTCAGGCAGATCAGAAGCTGTACAACCACCACAAGCATGCGATAGAAGCATGCATGTAGTATTAACAGGGGTACAAATTCTCCTAGAACACTTCCAGACATTGCAGTGTGGGCATACCATCGTACTAGATACATACTTCTACTGATATTCCTAGCAATACTGGAAAACGTGCACAGCATAAGGGTATGATAACTATGTGTAAAATCATAGGATCATTTTTGTACAAACCTGTAAATGTTCAAGGAGAATTTGTACCTCTGTTGATCCTAATACTCAAAGGATTCCTTGTCTTAACTCAGTTACAGTTAACACTTTAACACAATCAATTGATTTGGGAGGCAACAGTCTATTAGAGCTGCAAAAAATAAATAAAATAGTATATCATTTTAAAAGTATTCTTGATTTGATAACAAACAGGCAAATTTTGCTCCAGGTTGGCCTACACATCATCCAGACAGACCATAGGTTCAGGTCTAACCCATCTATGTATAGCCAATTCAGTAAAGTATACAAATAGAGATAACTGCTTACTATGATACTACAAAGTCTTTTCTATTCAAAAATTGCACAGGATAAAAGCTCTTATTTATTTAATGCTGCTCTAATGCTGCGTTATCAAAGCCTACACAATTATATTAAAGACTTGATGATATAAAAAGTTTTGCACCAATGCGTTTTAATTTCATTAAAAATAAATTTCCTACCCTGGTCTTTAAAACTCACCAGTTCTCCTGCATCCATTGGATGGCTTCTTGGTCATTAAATCGCTTCTCGAAATCATATTCCTTTAGCAGAATCACTGATAGGTTGCGCTCCTCCATTTTCCTGTGTGCATCTGAGCCTGATCTTCTGCTGTGCTGTCTGTTGAATGAGACAGGACCAGTAAAAGAAAAGCCAGATAAACCGGTATCACAGTACTGACACCCCGCCCTTATACACTACAGCCTACACCTGCCTATGACATGTGTTAAGTGTCCAGCCCTTAAAGAGATAAACTGTGTTAGCGATCTGCAACACAGATTAAAATCTTATCTGAGAATTATATATTTATATAAAAGGATAAAACTGTTACATTATGGAATTGGATGCAAATATTTTAACACTCCACAAAAATTGGATACATTGATCATTTTATTACGCAGAAGAGAACTATTATAGACAGTTAATAGATAAGGTATACAGTATAAAGTGATGGAGGTACATTGAGGGAGATGATAGTCTGTAATTCAAAACACAAAATATCTAATTGTTATTGTCTTAATAAAAACCCACTGGTGCCAACTCAAGTCATAGTCATATTCTACTTAAGATGGACACATTGTTCATTTGCAGAACAGGACTACTATATACAGTACATTATAATGAGTATAATGTGTGTATGTGTATAAAATGGTATCAAAATTAAAAAAAAAAGACATAAATTATATAGTGCATCCAATGTGACAACTCAAAACGTGCAAAAAGTCTACATCAGCAACAAATATGAAGAAGTGACAAATCTTTTGATAGATGAACAGCAAGTACCAGCAATCCTTATGGTGGCTCCTGTGTTCCTGTACCAACATCAATTGCTTACTGGAACTTTACACCCCCAAAAATGGAAAAGTCTAAAGAGCTTAAAGGTGGAACTCAACCTGATGGGTCACTTGGTTACATCACTACTCAGGACAGCCAGCTCTTTACTCCTCTGTCTGCAGGAATGCAATAGTTAACCACTGTGAATCTTGGAATGGTCCTAAGCTCGGTTATATCCTCAAAGTAAGCCCCATAAACAGGCCACTATGACTCTCAGTCCATCAGTTATCACCTAGTGATCTGGCTAGTAACACATCTCCTCTATTAGAATGCCCTCACTCTGGATGAAAGAGCACAATGGAACCTTTGGATTGCAGCATTGTCAGTCTGGGTTGGGGGTGGGGGGCGTTAGCTAGCGGATTTAGATACATAAACAAATTGAAGCCAAACTCCAGCTCAAACTGCAGTGAAAATGTTGAATAATGGTTTTACATGAATAAAAGCTGATCATTGTAAGCACCCCTGCCAGTGGTAAATGGTTTGTCTCAACACTCTAAACTGCTACATTTGCAGGAGAGCTTGTTCTGCTGAAAAGCAACAGATTTACTGGTCAGATCACCAGGTGATAGGTGGCGCTGATGAGAAGGCACTGATGGGCACTGATAGGTGGCAATGATGAGGAGGTACTGATGGGCACTGATAGGTAGCACTGATGGACACTGAGAGGCAACACTGATTGGCACTGATAGGCTGCACTGATGGGCATTGATTAGCACTGATGGGACTGCACTGATAATGGGCACTGATGATCAGTGCCCTGATTATCAGTGTAAATGTCCCCTGTCAGAATTGCCAGTTGCTGGCTCTTCTCTCCTCATGCTGTGACAGTGTGTGAGGAAAGGACTGCCGATAACTGGCAAATCTGTCTACCATCTGATCAGCTGTGACTGGACACGTGATCACATGGTAAAGGGCTGCTGTGATTGGCCCTTTACCGCAATATGTGATCAGCTGTGTCCAAAAGACACAGTGGTCACAGAGTGTGCCATACGCGCACCCCAGGGGGTGTGATTCTGGGGAGAAGTCTATAGACACCCTTCCAGAACTGAGCAACTGTGCTGTAGCTGTCTTTTGGCTATAGCGTGGTCGTGAAGAGGTTAAAACCACAGCCGCAGGGAAACTGCATAGTGGAAAATGCGCTGTGGTTTCCAGTGTTTGGATTTAATTGCAACCCCGCATGCCTGCTAACAGCAGCACATTTGTGCTGCGGGTGTGGGAAAGTGTGCAATTTACACACAATCCCGCACCTACAGAAGTGTGGAACTAGCCGTAAGTAAAAACTGCTGTGTTAATACTATTAAAAACTGCAACATACATGTCACTTTTGATTTTGTTCATAGTTCCACTTTAAAGATTCCAGCAAATGTAAGTAGAACAAGTGCGTACCATGTGAGTGCCTTAAACAACAGTCTTGATATATGCTAGTTAAATCAACAATCATAAAGAGTGTCAAGCATCTATACACACAAATGTGCTCGCCAATGAATAGGTTTTTATTAGTTCTTTTGTTGTTTAAACTGAACTGCAGCCCTGTAATTCATGACTCTTTGCATGTAAAGTGATTTGTTTAAACCTTTTATTCAACACCACTGATGATGTAGTGATCAAGGTGCTGCTTTTTTGTCCTGAGGGGATCCCAAATAAACTTTCTGAATATACATTTGTCCCCCTGTCTCAACAAATGTTTCACCTTTTTTTAGTTACTATAGAGACATATCCTAAAAAACAGTCCAGAGTTGAAGAATCTTTACAGCGGCTACTTGCAACTGTTTAGCTTTTCACTTAGATTAATGCCATGTACTGGACATTTCATTTACATGCAGTCACCCAACCTAGGAATAAACTTTGAGCTGAAGAGGAAGTGTGCAGGTTGTTCAATACATTGAAACACCTCCCACACCAGGGGAAATAATAACGCTCAACAAAATCCACTTTTTATATATCCTGTGGACAGCACCTGTTTTAATACCTAGTTATTTCAGGGACAATAAAATCAATCTATAGTTGTATGACCTTCTTATATTTGTAATAGAAATTAAACGTGTGTCACTATTAGAGATGAGCGAATCGAACTTGGCGAAGTGGAATTCGTTTCGAATATTAGGAAAAATTCGATTCGCACCGAATCCAAAAATTAGCAAACTTCGGATGCACGAATCGAATTTTTCCCGATCGGCCGATTTTCATCCCTTCTACAGCCGGCAAAAAGTGTCCCTGCAGAGAGCTCCGCTATTTCTGACAGTTCTCTGACAGTTCCTTCACATTTACAGCGGTTGAAACATTGTATCTATTTGTTTCCATTTAGGATACAGATGTTTTTATTCGGAAACAAATAGATACAATGTTTCAACCCCTGTAAATGTGAAGGAACTGTCAGAGAACTGTCAGAAATAGCGGAGCTCTCTGCAGATACACTTTTTGCTGTACTGGAATTCTTCTTATTTTCATCCTACTTTCTTTCTTCTTCTTCTTCTTCTTCTTCTTCTTCTTCTTCATCATCCTCATCCTCTCCTCTTTCTTCTTCTTCATCCTCATCCTCTTCTTCTTCTTCTTCTTCATCCTCATCCTCTTCTTCATCCTCATTCTCTTCTTCTTCTCCTCTTTCTTCTTCATCCTCATTTCTTCTTCTTCTTCTTCTTCATCCTCATCTTCTTCTTCTCCTCTTCTTCTTCTTCTTCTCCTCATCTTCTTCTTCTTCTTCTTCATCCTCATCTTCTTCTTCTTCTTCATCCTCATCTTCTTCTTCTTCTTCATCCTCATCCTCTTCTTCTTCTTCTTCTTCTTCTTCTTCTTCTTCTTCATCCTCATCTTCTTTTTCTTCTTCTTCTTCTTCATCCTCATCCTCTTCTTCTTCTTCTTCTTCATCCTCATCTTCTTCTTCTTCATCCTCATCTTCTTTCTTCTTCTTCATCATCCTCATCCTCTTCTTCCTCTTCCTCATCCTCATCTTCTTCTTCTTCTTCTTCTTCTTCTTCTTCTTCTTCTTCTTCTTCTTCTTCTTCTTCTTCATCTTCTTCTTCATCTTCTTCTTCATCATCATCTTCTTCTTCATCTTCTTCTTCTTCATCATCTTCTTCTTCATCATCTTCTTCATCATCATCTTCTTCATCTTCTTCTTCTTCATCTTCTTCTTCTTCTTCTCCTCATCTCATCTTCTTCTTCTTCTTCTTCATCCTCATCCTCTTCTTCTTCTTCTCATCCTCTTCTTCTTCTTCTTCTTCTTCATCTTCTTCTTCTTCTTCATCTTCTTCTTCTTCATCATCCTCATCTTCTTCTTCATCCTCATCTTCTTCTTCTTCTTCTTCATCCTCATCTTCTTCTTCATCTTCCTCATCCTCTTCTTCCTCTTCCTCATCTTCTTCTTCTTCTTCTTCTTCTTCATCTTCTTCTTCTTCTTCTTCATCTTCATCTTCTTCTTCTTCATCTTCTTCTTCTTCTTCTTCATCTTCTTCATCATCTTCTTCTTCATCATCTTCTTCTTCATCATCTTCTTCATCATCATCTTCTTCATCATCTTCTTCTTCATCTTCATCTTCATCTTCTTCTTCTTCTCTTCTTCTTCTTCTTCTCTCTTCTTCTTCATCTTCTTCGTCGTGCCCCGTGACTGCCCAAATGAGTGAAGTGTGCGGTGATTCTAAGATCGACGGCACTCATCTGCATGTCATACTGACTGACAGTATTATTTCTCTTCCCCAGCAGACTCCAAGGGCATTTAAATTAAAGGTACAGTGTTCTGCACTAATATAAAGGCTCTCTGAAGCCTAGTAACCCTTTTAATAAGTTAAATTCGCAGCGAATAAATTCGCATCGAATCGAATTTATTCCGCAAATTCGGCGAATCAGCCGAATCGAATTTTTGAATAATTCGCTCATCTCTAGTCACTATATATACAGGCGTACCTTGGTTTATGAATTTAATTTGTTCCCATAGGAATGCTTTGAAAACCAAATAATATGTTCCGGAGGTCAGAAAAAGTAAAAAAAAAAAATATTTTATCTGTTCAAAAACTCTTTATAAAGTGCACTTTAAAGGTATAAATACTATATAGGGACATAATTAAAAATTAATTCATAAATGCATTGAAAACCAATTAATCTGTTCTGGAGGTCAGAAAAAAGTCAAAAAAAGTTTTATCTGTTCAAAACTCTTTATAAAGTACAC